AAAAGCTGATCTTGATTCCTTATTTTTTCCCAGGCCTGCAGTTTGTCTCTTGAGGATTTTTTTTTTTTTTTTAACAACCAAAACACTCAAGCCCCAAGTTCGTTAATACTTTCTCTGGTTCAACTTCTAATAAAACCACTGTTTACCTGCTGCCACTTATTCAAATTGTTGAAATTTTCTAATACAAGTAGATTTTTAACTTGATTAGACTCTGTATGGCCCCCTTTCTAATCCAGAATTGTGTCAGTAAGATCTTTCTGGAACAAAGTACTGTTGCCAAGCATCCCTTTTACATTATGAGTTCTGCTGATGTTTTTTTTCTCCAGAGGTCTGTGTAAATTTCTGTAAGTGAATAGAAGTGATTTACGAATGTTGCCTATTGACTCGTTGTATTTGGAAACTTTCAGCAGGTAGAGAAAGTGTCTTATAGTAAATAAACAGTCATACTTATGTGAAATGTATTCCAGTATTAATGTTTTAAGTGTTGCAGTGTTACGGTAGGATGAGAGCTGAGGCTTCCTCACCGTCAGCAAGTTGTGGTCCTTGATACTTCGGTTATCTAAGACTAGAGATGGTTTACCCAGAGAGTGGATTTTCTCAAAGCTTCGTATAGTTGCCCAGAAGTGTAGCCTGTTATTTAGGGATTGTGCCCGGAATGCAAACTGCCCCTGCCCGGCCTCAACAAAGTCAAGCCCTGTTTGTTCTCTTCAGGTTTGTGTTGGGTTGGCATCGTTTTTCCTAAGCATTCTACAGAAGGATTTCTCCCTCTTTAGGGTTATGTTAGCACTTTGAGAAGTGTCTGCTCTGGTGGTAAATAAACGCTACGATCTTGACATAATTCTTAAGAAGAATTCACTTCTCGCCTTCCTTGGTGATGCCGTGTTCTCAGCACTTGCGTGGACTTCCCTTGCTTTACACAGCTTCAGCTGTAGTTCAAACAGGATCTTGGGTGTGTATTGTGTAACTGCAGCATTTTTGTTAATGGAAAATTACATAACTTGAAAATTTTTTTTAAGTTTTAAGTGTGCATAGGGCAAGAATGGATAATATGACCATACTTTGCAAATACATTTGGCACCTAACATTTAAATCCTGTTTATTGTGGAATGTCATCTCAACCCAAATTGTTATTTAGTATTATTTGTTTATGTTAGCTGTTTTGTTAGGAGTTCTGTTTTATGGTGCAAGAGAAACCTGTGTTGATGCTGCTGTAGAGTCTGTTACATTAGAATGTGCCAGCAAATGAATCAGTGTTATGGAAACAAGAACCAGACATGTAAGGACTAGTTTTCTGGCTATTTCTTTTCAGGAAATTTGCCTGCTACTTTTGGTTAATTTGTTTCCTAACTCATTATTTTTAGAGATCTCATACAAATTAGACCTACTTAACTAAAAAAAACCCCAAAACTGTTGCTAACTTGATTTTTTTTTTTTTTTTTTCTAGTGGCCTCTGAAGCCCCTGTTTTACCTAAATGTATGACAAATCTTGTGGTTTTACTTGCCTTCCCTGAGAGTAGCCCCGGGCGCTATTCCATGACTCAGATGGGATGCTGAGGATTTCTTATGTTATTCTTTTTCTTAAATACTATTTCAGAACTGTGGTTAGTGGAGGTGTATTGGGGAGGAGGGAGAAGCTAGGTTTTTTGCAACTAGCTACTATGTCTTAATTCCCAAATCAGTGACTGGTGTAAGCAGGCATCCGGTCAGGCGAGGCGGACTCTGTGAGCCGGGCTCCAGCCTGTCTTTGGAGAGCACCTTCCGAGTGTGCTGCCAGCCATGGTCCCAAAACGTGTGAAGATATGTCTGATGTGCCCTAAAGGCAAAAAGTTGTTTATTAGTAAAAGGCATTCGTATTTGGCTATCAGAAATCATGTAGTTCAGTTTTAAAAACAAAACGGAAACAAACAAACAACAAAAAAGGCCAAAAGAAACAAAAAACCCACCCCAAGAAAACCCACTGTGTCTTACTATAATAATCTATTCCTCGTTACTTGTTGTAGAGCCTGATTTTGAAATGCCAATAAAAAGTTCAAAGAATGTGGACTTAAATTCTTTTTCTCTCCCACACGGACAGTTGATAACCATAGTGAAAAGATTGCATAAGTAGTGCTGGGTATAGTTCAGATTAGCGGGACAGACATAAAGGCAGGATTAAGTATTTTATTGCTAATTTGGCCTAACGAGGCACAAACATTGATTGTTATCCCATTATTGTAATCCACATATTTTCTTAGAAGTTAAGAATGCCCTTAAAACCCAGGGAGGACTCTTCGGAGCGATACCTGACTGTTGTGTTAAACTAAGCCCTAGGCTTTTTATTATCGACGTGTTTACGCTGGGGCCAGGGACTGCATTTACTTTTCAGCTCATTTTAAGAGTCTGATTGCAGAAACTACTCCAAATGTTTCTCCACAAGGTGTGGTGCGCTTCATAAGTGTTTGAAATAATTGCTTTGTGTCAGTTCTCTGCCAGAATGTCATAGTTGTAGTGGGAAACACTAGTGAGGAAGGACTTCTGTATCACTTTTTGTGGCAGAGTTTTACTATGGTGTGACTTGTTCATTAAGGCACGGTCTCTTTTCGCTTTAAATGTACGTTTGTAGGTGATGAAGACTCTTTATGTTTTATTGCATTTTCTGTAAACTTATCTTTGCCTAGTTGTTTGTTTACTTACTGTAATGCAGGATGAAGTATTTGGGGGTATATTTGGAGATAATTGGCTTGGCAGATGCTGACCCCCACTTGAAGTAGATGGCTATTTTAGAACCATATCTCTGCCAAATAGTTCAATTAACTATCTGAAGTCTGGTCTAAGTTATCTTGATTAGATGGAAAATTTAAATGGTGTGTGTGCGTTTGAATCAGCTGCTGTTTCAGCAAAAAAATCTCATACAATTGATTCAGTTTTTCAGTTTCCCAGCTTTGTAGTAATAAGTTGAGTGAGTCATAAGATGTTCCGTATTAGACTGCTGTTACTTTTAAAAATAAATACATAAAGTTACCCCAAAATGGGTTTGGTTCAAAATACAGTGAGATTCCAGAAAACTCCCCCTCTCGCCTTTACTTTCTTCTTTCTCCCTTTTTGCTTTGGAAAGATATTTTCCTCACATGCTGTGATAGAGTTGAAGAGTGAAGGTAATTGACGGTCCTCCAACTGCCAAAAAATTGGAAACTTTCAAAGTGAAAGTATCCAGTGAACATAATTCCAGCAGTGGGAGAAAGAAAACTGAGGACTGGAATTAAGATTTTGATTCATCTTTTTACTTCCTTTAGCAGCAAATAGTCGTACAATCTACAAATACTAAAAATCAAGTAAAATCTTCTTATCTACTTGTGAAAGAAATTTAATGGGTTGTTTTGTTCATGAATAGTTCATAAAAGCAGGGAACAAATTGAAAAGATTCATCTAATACTATATATAAACTTTGAAATTAGAACAAAATTTTACCATAGAGAGTTTTTTAGATGTGTGGAGTGCATTTACTATTGCTCATGCGTATGTGCAGCTATGAATATTCAAGCAATGAAAGCAAGATCAGATTTACATTTGATAGGCTGTTTCTGTCATTGGTATTCACAGTTGTCTCATCACACAATCACATATGCATCTTATACCTGCCAAAAAGCAGATGGTTTGAAAATCCGCATCGCTAAATTTACTTTAAGATGCCTTTTAAAGCATCTACTGTTCTGGTACAGTTCCGGTGTTAGTTAACATTCTGGTAGGAAAGTGAATTTTTAAAAAAGATATTTTCAAGTGAAACGTTGGAAGTCGCATTTGGATGTGACCCCTCTCTTGTACTACACTGATAGTAAAAGACTGCGAGAGACACATATCCCAAGAGAGGGAGCGATTCCAAAGCCAAGTTAATGGAGGAATCTTGAACCCACAAAAGGGCTGTTTAAAATAATAGATTCTTTTTCTTTAAAACATTTCTACTGTAAAGGAAAGGGGCGGGGGGAGAAATAGAATATATACGACAACTATTTTAAAGGTTGTGTGCTGTCCTGGATGCAAAAACGCTGATTTGGCGTAAGTTATCTGAGCCACTTAAAATCAGAATAAAAGTATTTAGTGCAAAATGCTTTAAAAGCTCTGAGAGACAACCAAGAGGAGTCCACGGCTGTTGATAAAAGTAATGCCCACAGTGGCGTGTGTACTTAAGTCACTAGGCTGCTGCTGTTCTCTCTAAGTCTGCTCAAAGTTCTTAGACTGACAGCCAGAAACGCAGTTACATATTGCACCCCGGAGCCAAAGCACATCTTTTATCTGCAGAAAAGAACGGGCTTCTGGTTGGGTGCTGCGCGTGTGCTACAGGCTCAGCAGAACTGAAGCACTGCGGTTTGGCTGTCTGCTTTCTTCTCTTGGCTTACAATATTTAAGGTTGACACAATCAAAACACGGCCTAGCTTTGTATCACTGTATTTATTCTGTAGTTCAATATCCTTTTACACTGTAAAAGAATGAATTCTGCAAATACTTAACTCTATATCACGTAACTCAAAGTAAGAAACAGATGTCTACATAGTCCCTGAAAATCCTCACTAACTAGGAAAGTCAAGTAAAACCTAATCATCGTTTGCTACCTTGATGTAAGAATCACTGAGAAGTAGTGTTTCATTAAAGAAAAAAAAAAATAATCTTGATAGCCAAATGAATATAACATACAGTGGAATCATGAGCTAAAGAACAAATGTTACCAAATAGTATTGATTATTAAAAATGCCATCAGAATTGTCATTAATGAAAAGTTAACCCTTCTTTCAATATGTAGTTGGACTCAATGAAAATGATTGAGAAGCAGTTCTTCAAGTGATACAAAACGTTAAAACAAAAACAACTAAGGCGACTGAACTTGTAGTCAGGTTCTAAAATACGTTTCAAGACTTCTGCTAAATATGCTATGATTTGTTGTTCGTTGCAGTGGTATTGATATGTTACCATTTGCCGATTCTCTTCATACATAATCCATCTTGCTAATACTATTTTTGCTCTTTCAGGAGTTTTACGAACATACAAAAACACTTTGGCAAGACGAAGGTGTGAAAGCCTGCTATGAGAGATCTAATGAGTATCAGCTGATCGACTGTGCACAGTAGTAAGTATCGTTTCTGTTCTGCTGTATATTGACTGTGATATAGAGGTTTTTTTATTGAGTGTTAATGACAGTGATTTGGATGGTCCTGATGCTTACCATTCCTTCCTTGGAAAAGGAGTGTGTGCTACATGGTGACTTCTTGGTAATCAGCTATTCAGGGAGGGAGGAAAACCTGGCGTTCAGTTAGACACTAATATCTGTATTAAAGACCTTGCAGGTGCTTTCAAATGCTCTTAGCGCCGGCTGACACCTTAATGCGGTGGACAATTGTATTGTCTCCAAGACCAAATTTCCTGCTTCTTCCACTTAGACCAGTTCCTTTCCAATGACAGCTCCAGACACTGCAGCAAGTTTTAGCAAGTTGGAAAGTCTGTTGGTGTGAAACATGCTCATGTTCGTAGCTTTTGGGTTTTGTGCCGTTTATTTCTCTGAAAGCAAAGAGATGGCAGCAGCAATCATGGGCAGCAGCCCGTCATCAGTCACCGGGGCTGCTGCTTGTGTGCCTCTGTGCACATATCGGAGACTGATTCATTCTCCTCTGCTATTTATACCGCTGTGATGATCAGCATTGTCATGAGAGACTGCTGCGTGTTTGCTGTTATTTATCACATACAGCAATATAGTATGGCTCAGAATCTTTTTATAGCAAGATGTTTGTGATAATTGTGACCGTTCCTGGTATTTTTGTTGTGTATACTGAAGAATTGGGGACTTAAATTTGGCGTATTAATGGTTAAAACTGTTCTTTGTTAGTTTATACTCTCTCTGCTTCTTTTGGAGAAAGTGAAATAAGGTCAAGGAAATGCAGGTTTCTCATTTCGCATGATGATGAGGGACAACTGCAGTTTGTCTACTACTGTATCTCTTAAAGAACATTTGATGAAACAAAATTTGTAAGGTTCTTTGTTTAGGTAGACTTAAAGGTAAATCAACAATTAGCTCTGTTTGAAAAGAGACCAGGGAGATAATTTGACTATGACTTGCACAGCTCCAGGTCTTCAGGAGCCTCTTTGAAGTTTTGCCATTGTTTCTGGTGTGAATTTGTTTGATGTGCAGCGATGTCTTTTGCATTAGGTGACTAACGTTTGATCATTTGGCACAGATCTCTTTGCAAGTTCACTTGCTACAAAATAAAAAATACTACAAGATTTTCATTTGCTGTCAACTATCCAGTAAATTTTGTCTTTCTAGTGTAAAGCTGATAGAAATGGGGAAAAGCTAGTTTTGTTTCTGATAGTGTTTGGTTATCTGCTTGTTTCTGGTTAGTGTTTGTTAATAGTCAACTTCTATAATGGGAAGATGTAAGTATTGTTAAGCACTAAGGGGGTTTTGTGTTGCCCTTTTTTGGAAGAGGAACAAATTTTGTTCTGCCTTGAACGCGCAGAAGACAGCTAAAGTTCTTATCATCCCTGACTGCTGGACGTGGACTTTTTCATGGGTCAGTGAGGGGGTTGGCCTTCAGGATGGGTTTACCGTCCTGCTCCATCTAGTGGAACACTTAATTCTACATCGTGGGCTGTTGTGCCAAAAATAAACCTTGAACAATGCTGACAAATTATGGATTTTTTTTTTTTTAAGGTACCATTGCTGTTGTGTCCTAGAAATATGTAATAATTCTAATATTTATTCAAGTTTATGGTGAAGTAGATGACATTATTTTCTTGCAGAAGGAGTTTTCTAATTGTTAGTTCTTGTCCTTTCTGGCATTTTTGATCGTGCAGTGCTGTTGATTTTAATAACAGAATATGCAAAGTAAGAGTTTTTTAATAGCAAAATGTTTGCTTGGAGGTTAACGCGTCTTTGGAATTCTGAACTTGCTTTTATTATATTGCATGTTCAAGAGAGCTGACAAAAACTGCTTCCCTTAAAATCTGAGTGACTGATACCTTGAAATGAACCTGGTGGGCACACTCTACAAGAAATGTAGCAAAGGCAAAGTATAAAATGCAGCTGAGATTTATCACGTGAAGACTGTTTTAATTTGAATGTGCAAGCTATTGTCGTTAGGGCTAATAGATGTTAAAAGAGAAAGTGGAGCAAACTGTGGTGTTGTCAGTTCTTTCAGAGAATAGTCTTGGGTTCTAAACGCTTTCGCCTTTTGAAGTCCCTGTTTAAAACAAGAGAGGCATACTTAGAATAGAAGGCGGAAAAGTGGCTTTTCTCTTTCAAGATCAGTCCAGCTTCCAAGAATCCCTTCTTGCTCTTGAAAGTTGAGTAAATTCTTAAATATTAATAGATTCTTTGTTCAGTGAATTACTTTAAAATTCTAAACAATGTTTCTTGTTTGCAAAAAATTAACGTTTATAGTTGTTTGTAATTTTTTTTTATCTCATTTTTTGAAGTGTGAATTGCTTAGTGTAAAGTTTGTCTTGGTGTGGGCTCATTTAACAGTCTGCATTTTTTAAAAAGGAAGGGTTTTTTCACTCTTGGAAGTGACACAGTTATATATGGGAAGCTTTGCAAGGAGATTCTGCCGAATGTTTAAAAATGAATTTTGTCTGTCTTTTGGCAGGGAGCAATGAGGAGTGTGCATCTTCCAGGGCCTTGTTTGGCCTTCAGAGATGTTAATATGAAAATGAAACTCATTTCTCTGTCTGCCAAACCTGCGTGAAGTGTGTGCGAGTGGCTGTGGGGATCTGGAGGGCTGGTGGGGGGCGCCTGTCCCGGGAGCGGGCACGCCACGGGCTGGCACGGTGGCACCCGGCGCCGTGCTGGATCTCTGGGACCCGGCACGGGTCCCGTCCCTCTGCTGACGGCCGCCTTCGGTTGCTGGTGTGATGGCAGCAGCGAGGGGCTGGGAATGGTTCCCTTCGGCGCAGCATTGCCGCTTTTACCGTTCTGCTTTTCCGGGGTAAAAACTGGTTCTTTCTCCGTGTAGGCAGCTTAGCTACAGCCCGAGGGAAAGTCTTGTTGGCGTGGAGGACTGCATGGTATGGCTTGCAGGATGCTGGAGCATCTTGGAAAAGAAGATGTTGGGGAGAAGGAGGCTTAAACCCTTGCAGAGCGGGTGCCGAGGAGAGGAGGGAGCTGGCTGAGGAGTCAGGAGCTCTCCTAGTGAGCGAAGGGCCAGGGGAAAGCCGCTTTTTGCTGCTTGTCCTTTCCCAGGAAAGTGGGAACGAATATAATTCTCAACCTGATGTGTTGTATCTGCCGAACTTGAGTGTAGGTGTTTAGAGTCCAGAAATGGTATTTTTCACCTGTTCCTGAGCAGTAGCTTTAAATGCTACAGTGCTTCCTGCTGGCTTGCTGCAACTCTTCAGTGTCTCCCCGTAAGAAGTTAACATTAATGTGCGCGGTTATCATTGCTCCGCCAAGTTCCTGGTTGCGTTGGCTCAGAAAAGATGACTTTGCCGAAAGCCCCATGTCCTGTGCCGGCTTTCCGTTGGACTGCAGGTGGAAGCGGGGAGGCTGGCCAGCAGCCGCCCCTGCCGGAGCGCCCTCCTGGGTGCTGCCCTTTCTCCTGCTCCCTGGCTACGGGAGAGCATCACTTCGGAGGAGCCCTGTTCACTCTGAAAGCGGAGCTGCCCCTGCTCATGGTGAGCTTTGTCGTGCTTCCTGCATGGTCATCTCCGAGGGGCTGGAGAGGCACAGAAAGGACGGGAGGCTCTTACTATGTAATTAGTTTAAATTCTGCTTTTAGAACAGCATGGTCTGCAAGGTCGTCACTGGTTTCTCTGCAAGAGAAATGTATTTTAGGTGTGAGGGGGGAGCGTTATCTGAGTGACCAAATTTCATTGCTCCTGCATCTCATGGGATGTGTGCAGGAGGGAACAAACGCGTGTGTTGACGCTGCCACGTGATGCTGCTCTCAGCTAATAATAAACAGAATAATGCAGGGGTGTCTAGAATATAGAAAACCCCAAACAGTGATAAATAAATGATTTACCATCCCTCATATTTCTTCCCTGAAGGCACAGGATTGCTTTTTATTCAGCATATTTTACTTAATATTAAGAATAGGGGAGCCACTTCCACTGTAATGTGCCAAGACCTGTTTGTCAAATATATGCTGTCTGTCAAATGTAAACAAACGTGATCTCTTTGAAATGCAGTTGCTGCTAATGCTTCTACCTGCGTTTCCATTTGAGGAGCCCTGCTCTCGAAGCCTCACAAACACGCAGCAGAGCGGTCGGAGCAGTGGGACCTCTCCCAGGCGCAGGTGCTGTTGGTGGCATGAGGGCACGAAGGACACCAGCGCCGTCCTGTGCGGTCTGACCCAAAGTCTGTGGATGTCCTGGAGAAAACTGCTTTGCTGGCAGCAGCCTTTGGGTTAGCTACGTAGTGAGTCAGAAGCAAAGCCTGGGTGCGTGAGCCTCCTAGTGCTTTTGCTAGCCGTGCTAATACTCGGCTGTGCACACAGATCCTTCAGTTTTTGCTTCAGTTAGCCTTGGCCACCGGTTTGATTCTGCGCTGTTTGACGCTGTGCCGTCTCTGCCTGTCTCCTACCTGGTGCTTCCTGGTTTTGGCAGGGGTGAAGGAAATAATGTGAGAGACGGTCTCGGTGGCCCGTTTCACAGCCTGCGGTCTCAGGAAGGGCTGGCAGCAGCGGGAGGGAGCCCGTTCTCACGCTAGTCCCTGCCGCCGGCTTTTCTCCTGCCGCTGCCATTTCGGGGAAGGAGAGGGCACGGGGAGGGGGCTGATCTCAGTGCAGAGCCGCGCTTCTCCAACTTCAGCACCAGCACAGCCACTCTGATACCTTGAAACTGTGCCAGGCTGCTCCAGAAGAGTTTTGTGAGAAGTATTTTTTAAGATGTTTGTTTTTAAAACACTTATCAAAGAAGGGGGGGAGCGCTGCTATTAGCTGGCTGCTGTGCGGGGCTGCTGGAGCATCAGCAGATGTGGACGTGCTCTTTTTATAATTTCTAATTTGTTATGGGTTGTAAATTCTTTATATTTTGGTTGAGATTTTTGATGTGTTTTATTTCTGGATTTGCTGACTTGTAGAGAGCAATTAAGAGCCCCGATCTGAGCACTTAATGATTTTCTTCCATGTTGATGTC